AGCGCTTGCTGGACTTCATTTACACCGCCTGGCTGCCGCTCTCCATGGACACGGTGGAAGACACGCTGGAGGCCGCCAGCTACCTGCAGGTGACCGAGGCACTGGGGCTGTGCGGCCGCTACCTGGAGCGCCAGCTGGCTCCGGAGAACTGCTGCTTCGCCGCCAACGTGGCGGCGCGCTTCGGCCTGGCGCACACGTTGGGCGCCGCGGAGAGCTGCATCGTGCGCCACCTGCGGGAGCTGCTGCTGCGCGGCGCGGGCCCCATGGGACTGCTGGAGCTGAACCCCACGTCGCTCAAGGCTGTGTTGGGTGCCCCCGACGTGGCGCGGGTGCCTGAGGCCTGGCTGCTGGGTCTGGCACTGGCCTGGCTGAGGCAGGAACCCGAGGCCGAACGCCTGGCCCACTGCGCCTCGCTCCTCGAGCGCGTTCGCTTCGGCCTAGTACCCGCCGACGTGCTGCGGCGCGTGTACTCGGGCTCTGGCCTCGTCCTGCCCGCCCGGGTCAAGGGCCTCATCATCCAGGCCCTCAACTACCACACGGCGCCCTCCCGCCAGCCGCTCTTGCAGGGCGAGCAGACCAGCGTCCGGAGTCCCCAAACCCGCATCTTGTTGGTAGGGGGGCGCAGGGCACGGGAGGCGGTGACCGAGGAGGTTGTGGTCCCCCGGGCGGTAGCAAGGGGCAGGGGCGCCGCGGCGGAGCCAGAGGAGGAGGAGGAGGACGAGGAAGAGGAGCAGTTGGAAGAGCAGGAGGAGGATTGGGAGTTCACCCAGGACGTGGTGGCCTTCGACGTGTACAACCACCGCTGGCGCAGTCTCACGCGGCTGCCTGCACCGCTACTGGGGCACAGCGTGTGCACCGCAGGCAATTTCCTGTTCGTCCTGGGCGGGGAGAGTCCCTCTGATGGCGCCTCCTCACCCCTGGCAGACGGCGTGCAGGCGGTCACGGCCCAAGTGCACCGTTACGACCCGCGCTTCCACGCTTGGACGGCGGTGCCCGCTATGCGGGAAGCGCGGGCCCATTTCTGGTGCGGCGCCGTGGGCGAGGGGCTCCTGGCTGTCGGGGGTGTGGGCGCGGACGGCCAGGCGCTGGCGTCGGTAGAGATGTATGACTTGCGCCGGGACCGCTGGACGGCGGCCGGGACACTGCCGCGGGCGCTGCACGGCCACGCGGGGGCCGTCGGGGACCGTGGCGTCGTGTACATCTCTGGGGGTAAGGCGGGAAGAGGCGAGGGCGGCGCGAGCAGCCTCCGGGACGTGTACGCCCTGGGCCCTGGGGAGCGAGCGTGGAGCAAGAGGGCGCCCATGAGCACGGCCCGCTTCGGGCACCATATGGCTGTGCTGCGCGGCGCGGTGTTCGCCTTTCTGGGGCGCTATGAGCCCTTCTCTGAGATCGAACGCTATGACCCCGGCACGGACCAGTGGACTCGACTGCGACCGCTACCCTATGATCGCTTCTGCTATGGGCTGGCCGTGGTGGAGGAGACGGCGCTGCTGCTGGGTGGCCTCAAGTGGCGGGACTCGCGGCAGGTGCCTACCCGCAACGTGGTGGGCTATGACCTCGACCTGGACCGCTGGGAGGACATTGGCTGCGCGCTACCCTGGGCCTGGAATGGCCTCCAGTGCGCAGTGCTGCAGCTGGCTGAGGGTGGGGATGAGGAGAGGGAGGGAGGCCTCGGAGAGGCGCCAGATTTAGTGCGGGGCTTAATGGGTTAGTGCAGTCTCCGGACGACAGAGGAGAAAAAGTCGCACTTAAGCAGGCTTACAGAGTAACGCGTGGGTGGGCTTTTCCTAAGAATGGGACTCAGGGAGCGGAGCGGCTTCTGAAGTTTAAGGATGCAAACAAGGGCTTGGTCGAAGAGGAACAATGCCCCCTAAGCTGAGAATGGGAGACAGGAGGGATCAAAACAGGGTATATGAATCAGCTTCGGTGAGCTGGGGATTTCTAGGAAGACTCATGCTGGTCTAGAGATGGACTTTTGAAAAGAAAATACGGCCCTGTTTTCCCTCTTATAGTTAAAGTGTTGCCCTAGATGCTAAACAGTGATTACTTTTGTGCCAAACAAGCAAGGCCAAAAATGTACAAGAAGTTATATAAAACCCAGGAAATTGTTAGCTATAAAGGCTGTAATAAATAGTCGGAAAAAGATGGCATTATCTGAATAAATAGTGAAGGGAAAGTGCCTTCATTAAATAGCATGAAGTCATTGTAAGGAGAACTATGATTTTATGATACAGAACCATGTTTACAGTTCTGCTCTGATGGTTTAATATAAATGTAGAACTGAGAGGGAAAAAATCTCTAAGAAAGCACTTTTTTTTTTTTGAGAAAATATCCTAGGTTAAGTTTTTCTGTTCCTCATTCTTACCCCTAGCCTGCTTTTGCCCTGGCTTTAGGCAGTTCATTGGTTTTCAGTTTTATTTCAGCAGTCCTTAGCCATAACAATCAGGTTCTTCTGGTTATGTGCAACATCGAGCAAGACCCCAACTTATTTCTTTCATTTTCTTTAAAAGTTCACTCTGCAGACATGCTGTCGGTTATATTTGTTAAAAAAAAAAACACACACACACACAACACATTTTTGGCGGTCCCTCCTCCCCAACTTCCCAAGAATCAACAGAAAGGAAAGAGTAGGTGAAATTCTCAAGTTTGTGTCAGCTAAATGGGAAAGGAGTTTGATTTTGCAGGGTCTCAGAAAAGATCCTTGCACACACACACGGAACAGCTGCTGCTTCTGGCTTGGACCACGGATGGAGTGGCAAAGTTACAACTTGTAACTAGGGAAGAGGGTCAGGGGAGGGCGGCTCTGTGATGGGGTCTCAAAGAAATGTGGTGAGGACTCTGTATGAATAAAGTAGGTGCCTTATAAGGATTCATTAAGAGCTAAATTTATTTCACTTCAGTTTACAGTGCTGCCTCTCTCCTAGATTTGAAACTAATGCAATAAAATGTACAGATAAATATAGTTGTTAAAAGGTCTCTTTCATGCTAAGCTAGTCACGAGTCTTTTAAAATTCATTAGTTTAATTTTTACCATTTAAAACAACAGAGCTGACTTTACAAAAGTAAAAGCTGCTTAGTAGCAACACAGCTAGTCTTTCCGTCAGCTGCTCATTCTATACAGGGCACAACCTTGCCACTGTATTCATGACACATCCATCAGGTACAGATATTTTTAAGTGAATGTACACATTTGGTCTAGTAAACATCAACAAGTCTAAACACCTGTAACAAGCACACTTCATTTTAGGACAAGAGGTTTTGTTTGTTTGTTTCGTTTTGTTTTTTTACATATACAAAATTCCACAATTTAATGTACGTCAATATCCATGCAGTAAATAAATGTTTTTACAAATAGGTTTTTTTTAAATGATAAAAATATTACACTAGACCCAAAATTCCATACAAACATTAATACATGATTTCTCATCCAGTTTGACTAAATATAGGATTACTGAAAATGTGCTGTAGAAAGGCCACTCTCCTGTACAGTGTGCAAAGTCTGCAAAACGATAGTGATTCAATGTTGGTTTCAAAAGCAACGAAAAAGACCCCTGCTGTGGAGTTTTTACTTTCTCCTCTACAGCAAAAATATTCACTGGCTTATATCTGAACTCTTAGAGATGAAAGTACATTCACTGAGCTGTACAGGCAACAGTATAAAGCTGATTAGAAGTAGATTTTAGGATACAGAATAGTAAAGGAGGGTCCCTTCCTCCTCCTAAAAAAACCCCAAACAAACAGCAAATTGTGATTTGTACGTTATGCAGCCCGACACTAAAAAGCAGCACAGTCATTATCATGCTGTGGTCACTTTCAAAAACGAGATACTTATAAATGGAAAACATATGAAGAGGACTTTTTCACAGACTTCATCCACTCTATAGAAACAATTCATGAAGCTAGGAAAAACCTCTATAAATTCTTTCTCTCATATAATTCAATGTAATATATCTCTGAATGACCATTATCCTCTTGCTCCTCGGGAGAGAGGCACGTTTTTTATTTTTCAACATTGTTGTCTACATTAGAACACACATTGTCCTGTAACTAAACATATTTTACTTCCCTGCCTGAAATATAATTACGTAAGTTTAATTAATGGGCTAGGGAGAAAATTGGAAACTAACTGGAAAGGTGATTCGTTTCAGTTTATCCCTTGTTTTTTAGAAGCTGGAGTTTAAAAACATGAGTTTGGGCTG